ACCCATTTTTTGGTACTCATTTTTTGGTAATTTTTTTTCAAGTATTTCGGAGTGGAATTTCAAAAAACACTCCTGTCAGATCCTAGATACATGTTTTAATAGAATCTAGCAATTTTTTCACTGTTGCAAACCCAACGGTTTAAGCACAATCATGCACACCGCAAAGACCTACATCAGCCAGGCTCCAGTTCAAGGCCATGCTGGCCATGTTTGCGGAGGGATCGGCACCGCTCAATGGCCAAATTGTGGGGCCATCTTTACTTTATATATACGCGCAGTACTAAACCTCTGAGTCGCCCCGTTTTTGTAAAATAAATTTTTACAAATATGTATTTCACAGGTCTGCCCCCTTAAGTGCGTGCACCCGCAACATGAACTGGGGCCGGCGCGCTCCGGAAGCGGACAGACCGCGCCCGATTGGACCAAACCACAGAGTCGTGCGCACCACGCGAGATTTCGTGGTCGGGGCGTGCGAAACCAGCCGACCATAAATAGATCAACGGACAAACAGCTCAAGAACCAGGCGAGGACAGGCGGCTCCAACACTACGACCTAAGCCCTAAGGAGGGGCAAACCGGTCAAACCGCTAAGGAACCCACGGACAGTGGTTCAGAAAGACAGAAGTCGGGTATTTAATGTGACTTCACAACTTTCAAAACTTGTCTCAAACGCTATTGCTGTGTGGCGTTTTCGCAGCAGAGTAAGGCAATGGGAAGGAAAGGCAGTGGTGGCAGATAACACTCAGGTTTATAAATCAAGACTAAAGTACAAGTCAGTCTTTGTTCAAATGCCTTTTTTCCTCGCTTTAGTCCAACACACAATTCACACATTTCCATCATGAGCGGAAACGGTGACGAAGACACAATTTATTGTGTAGTCTGCAAATTGCCAGATAGCGGATAAGCAAAACTTGATGAGTGTTGCCTTTCCCACTTTGCGTGAGTTTTTGCCATTCATTCGTTGTACCTACCCTATTCCCCCAACAGGTTCATAATCACATGTGATAGATGTGATTTTGGTACCATGGTCGTTGCGTAGGTGAGACCAAGAAATACAGCCAAAGTAAGTAATCAGAAAATTTCTCAATTCCTGTGTGTTTTCATTGTTCCTAATTTTGTTTGTGACTATTGATGACAGAGAAAGCAAAGTGGTATTGCACTCGGTGTAAAGAATGGCGCAAGCACTTTCAGAGTCTTGGAGAGGTTTGCGGCATTTCAGAATAATATTTCCTCTGTAATGATGGAGAACTTTCATTAGTACTTAGCAAATCAGGACGAAAATGCCTTTCCTCATTTGTTGTAGAGTCATCGTGCATTGATGTGTAGAGTTGATAAACGAACTTATTTAGTACTTATCACAACTAAGAGCATCATATAAGACACTTTCTTATAGTTGTAACACCAATTTGTTAAGATTTCCTTGTCATATGACAAACCAAATACCACAATGAAACTACTTGACTTAGAAAATTGGCTCCTATGTTACACAAAGTCTTCATCAGAGCAGTCACAAAAAACTGCTATCATTTTTTCTTAAGAGAAATGATATGGATGCTAAAATTAATATTTTTATCTTTCAACACTTTGCTGTTGACTTAGAAACAAATAATATTTTTGGCACATAGCAATTAGTACGGTTTCTTTGGCGCTGGCAGATAATGAATACACTGATAAAAATGTTTCATTACATTTTCATTACATGCTGTGAAGCTATTTTCATTAGAGTTGTGTAATGATATTTAATCACTTTTTCATTACGTATTGTGAAACTTCATTAAAATGTAATGAAATTCCACAATACGTGATGAAAAAGTTATTAAATATCATTTCGAAACTCTAATGAAAATAGCTTCACAACGTGTAATGAAAATGTAATGAAATATTTTTAACAATAAACTGCACAGTGCAGCATATATACATATGCCTCCTTAACTAATTACAACAAACAAAATCAAAAGTAGAATCACTTTCTTGAATGGGTAGAGCCTATCATCTGGGACAACTCTATGCATCGTTCAAGTCTATGAGTAGCTGGCATCCTTGTCTTCTTGGGCAGAGACGACCAACAGGTTCATCTGCCTTCGTCTTTGAAGGAAGACCACCATATGTGTGGTCAGAAAAATCCTGCTGTCTCATTGCGTCTGAAGGTCGGCCTGTACACTGCCTTTCAGTTCCACCATGATACGTGGTCCTCCTACCCACTGCATTAACTTGCATAGGAATTTCCCTTCCAGTCCGTTTCTTAAATTCCAATGCTGTTGGGCCGCTACTTTTGCCAAAGCAGTGCAATGCGAGCACTAGACCTGCCTGTAACTTGCTCAATCAACAATTAATTTTGCTTGATGAAAACACTCAGAGGTTCATGAAAAGTTTGTTGATCATCCATTAAGTTTTGGATGTAGTTTTCAAAAATTGCTGTCAAAGCATTCTTGGACTTATTAACAATGTCAGATGGGATTTCTCCATTACTAGTAGTGTCTTTTTCAGCGGATGTAACAGGAGGCTCATCCACAGCTTGCTCATTTATGATATTTTCAACAGCACTGCTTTGATGTGGCTGAAAATAAAAAGATTTTAAATGCAAATTCAAGACATCAATGGTAAAAATTAATTAACTTTTAATTTAAGGGAAAAATAATGACAAACTACTTAAAAATGCAATGACTCAATGACTGATTACAATATTTCATATAAAAGAATGAGTAATAATAACATGAGTTTGTCCACCAAAGATGTTCATAAACCTATTGTCTAGGTACTTGGATGGATCGACATCAATTGAAGAATCACCTAGCTGGTCACTTTCAAACCCCCTTTAACACAAGACAATTATGAACAAATATTTTAAAAACCTACCGAGGGGTGTGGAACTGGTCAAAAAAGTGTACACATGATTGTGTCTAGACAATCATTGTTTCATCGAACACACTTTTAAACCATTCATCTGAAACACTTGTGTGTCCATTAGCAATCTGAAAAAGAACACGTTTCATAGTTAGGTTGTGACACTGAAGCAGAGGGTGGATCATAGAACTGGATAGGTGGAACCGCTGGACAACTGCACACATATGCTTGCAAGGCCTGCCACATTTAACTGCTTCACAAGAACAAAGCTCCACAAGGTTGAAAGCTCTTAGACGGTTCATCATTTTCCCTTCAAAATGCGTATATTCGCTTCACAATAGTTATTTGTATCACAGCCTCTGGTGAGTAGATTTAATCGTTGAAAGAGAGCCCATTCAGCCGAACGAGGGATGAAGTTTATCAGGTGCTTTTTTACTTTTGAATACTTGTTAAGTTCTTCATGGTCCAATGCCTCCTTCAGACGTTCTTGGAAAATAGTATAACTTTCAGCATATACTAAATCTTTAAAACAGTAAAACAATTCACTTCTCTTATCTTTCGGTACGTTCTGCTCTCTTGCCCAAAGATAGCTCTAGCATGCCTGAAGAACATTAAATAAGCAGAGGAGTAAGATGGCATCTTTAAATGACAATTTCAGTGCATCTCTTTCAGGTTTACAATCATCTGTCATGATCAGTTTGGGCCCAATAGATGGTCCTCTTCCATAGAAGGCATTTTTTGGTTGGAGTGTTTTCCACAACTCTAAGGCACTGTGAACTACTTTCTCACTTTCAGAAGTCGTAATCAATATACCGAGAGGCATTCCAACAGCAACAGAAGGTGTTAAGAGAAGGAATACTCTACAGGTCATTAAGTCCATGTTACCAGAAACATCCACAAACATCATCTCAGCTGATGATTTGAGAAGTTGATGTACCCTCCTCATTAATGGAGTACAGATTGCAACTGTGACATGAATGCCTTCAACTTCTTTCACTTTACAACAAATAGACCCTTTCTCAGTATTACAGTCAGCACAGAATTTTTCAACAGCTTCAATCATTTCAGTACCGTACTGAGGGCCATACCAACACCTGAGAAGAACAACCGCTTACCTCTGCGGACTGGAAACAAACCCGCTTACCTCCTCAACCCTCAAACAAAAGCGCTCACCTTTCGGTCATGCAAACAAAGCCGCTTAAATGACTTTTTCACACATTTTGAGATGCGGGTATCAAAATGATCACGGAAAAATTCTCTTTCGAATAATACCCATATTTCAGAATGTGTACAAAAGGCATTTAAGTGGTTTTGTTTGCGTGTCCCAGAGGTGAGCGGTTTTGTTTGAGGGTTGCAGAGGTCAGCGGTTTTGTTTCCAGTCCGCAGAGGTAAGCGGTTGTTCTTCTCAGGTGTCGATACGGGCCATACTGCTTAGTGTCTATTTTCTTGAAGAGCTTGTAAACCCAAAAGTTGCTTGGGCAAATGAATCCGTCTGCTGCTACTCTAATTATACTCTAATTATCACCACGTTCACTTTTAGTAATTGCAGGTTGAGCTCTCCTGGATTTCCCGCAGTGGTCTATTCTCAGGGCGTACAAGAAAATGAGAATAAATTTCAAACGTGACGCAAAAGTAAGATGTACTATTTCGGCTATACGCAATACCCACCCCCTCACAAATTGTGAATAAAAACCAAACCCCTAAGCTAGGCTTAGCCAAAGACCACGGACAAGGAGCCTTGGGGGG